GAAGAACCTTTCTACATAGCATGAATACTTGCTAAAAGCAAGGATTTGAGATATTTATTCAATAGTGGAAATACCCTTAACATGAGAATCCAAAGTTGTAATTCTTAAAACAAGGAATGTAAAGCTTATTTTTAATGGTGGTATTCTTAAACTGAGGAACTTTCATTGGAGAGTATAAAATTCTTAAAAGCAGAAATCTTGATCCTTACATTTCAAGGAATTGACTCTCAAAATAAGGAAAAAATCCTTGTTTTGAGCATCCACTGAGTAACAATAGGAATTCCGAAAAACAAAATTTAGAGGGTGTGAACATCCTTTTCCTTTTTTTTTCATCCTCTTGCTAATAATTATCTCAGAAGTGTGAAACAGGCCTCAAGGGCAGTACTCAGTTGCAACACAAGCATAGGCATAAACATAACAAGCTAATGTGCAGGTGGGCTCAGCTGCGACATAAACATGAGCACAGGCACTCAGTCGATGTTATGTTAAATAGGGACATGGTTGGTATAAGCAGTGTAGTGGTTGCTGATTGCCTGAAAGTCTTTCGCTTATGTTTATCCTTACGCTTATGCCAACCAAGTCTTAACTAGAAAGTATAAGCATAAAAGAAGGCAACGTTTGATAATCTTATGCATATATGCTTATCCTTATGTCCGTGCGTTCCATCCAGCGCATAAGATTTTCGACATGGCTATCCCTATGCTTGCATCGAAAGTAAATACTGGGATCAATATTGGAACAATAGTTTTATGATAAACAAAACAACACCCTTTTGAACTTTCATTCCACAAACCTTTACAGTAAATTCTGGAGCAGTGATTGTCTTGCACCAAATCCTAATCAGGCCATATTTTCTGTCTTTGAGGCCTAATTTGGATGATGAAACAATGTTGTAGCAAAATATGTCTGTAACTAGAAAAGAAATGTTTTCTATTCATCTGGTACTTCTATAAAACATAAACAGAACCATCCAGTTTCCCCACTGTATTCATAGCTCCCATTCCTGTATCAAAGCCAGCTAATAAAACAATTTACTCCTAGGTGTAAACTTCTAAACCAATTGAGCTAACCGCCTCCCGGTTAGCTCAATTGGTTAGAGCGCTGGACTGTTGTGCGGGAGGTCGAGGTCGATGGTTCGAGCCCCGGCCGGACCAACACTCAAGGTCTTAAAATAACTGAGGAGAATGCGCTACCTTTCTATAATATCAAGAAATGGATAGACATTCTAGTCTTCTCGGATAAGGACGAATAAACCGTAGGTCCCGTCTCCTGCATCTATTAATTAGTTAATTTGGTTAGGCAGGGGACGTTAAAGAACCCACTCACGAGATTACTGTGATGTGGTCTGGCCTGTTTACTGGGAATTGGGGGGGAGGGGGCATCTTCAAATAAGTTTCCTTTGATTGTTTGTAAACTGCTGATGCAGTCCGGCCAAAGTCCCCCGAAAAGTGTTGTGATGCGCATTTCATCATATTCACATGTTAATTTGCGCAATATAAATATTAAATTATTATTATTATATTTGATCACTAAACAGATATAATATATCATATACCAAAATGGCTAAGCAGATAAAAAGTCTTGAATTGCATTATCCAGTTATCCAGTTTATAATAATTAAGAATTATTCCATGAGCATGTGTTGGATATGAGATGATAGATAGCCAATGAGGCACATAGCACTGAGTTGGCCATAATCATCTCATATCCAACAAGCACAAGTGGAATAACTGTTTTATTGAAAAAAAACACACCTGAGATATTAGACAAATCTTCTTGACTTGAATTGCATTATCCAATGATCCAGTTTTTAATAATTTCTGTCATTTAATTTTTGTGTGCTGAGGTCCTCTTATTTCAAAAACCTTGCTTTAAAAAAGGTAAAAAAGTGTCCTAAAGTGGCCAGCTAGAACCTACTCAAGGGATTTTTTGATTTAAGATAGGGTAACAGTTTTTTTGAAGGAGCTTAATACCCTTAGTTTGAGACAGTTTGTCTGGGAAATTAATAAATTTTGACTGATTTTGAAAAGGCCATGTTCCTCTTCCATGGCTTCCAAGTTGTGTCTAAACATTGGGGTTACATATATCACTACACAAAGTTTAAATCGGTTTACAATATTTATTCTAAAATGATAAATTTGGGAGGTCTGATTCTATTAACACGTACTGGTAGGTTAAAATTTAACCCTGATGAAGTCTGATGTTTCATCTTCTGATTTTTTTAGTACAACTTACTGTCACTTCATTATATCAGACAATTAGTACCAAGCCATAGATATGTACAAAAATTACGTTAATATTTACAACAAAAGCTGAAACCTCTTAAAACACCACTAACCTACAAAAAAGCCCTTTGTCTTTTA